CCACTCAGGTACATTAATGCCTGGCTCCCAGTAGCATATTTAGGGAAAATAAACGAAAAATCATTAAAAAAATAAGTATGGCCTTAATTATTACCATTCAAGTTTTATATGTTTTGTCTAAGTAGTTTCTAAAATTTAACCTACTTTTTGTTGTCATGGCAACGATCACGTGATATATATCGAAAAACAACACAAAAAATATACGTTATATTCAGAGGCTCTGCAGCAGTATAATTCGTGATTGAAAGGACGCAGAATTGCCATAATCATTCATACATGATGTCAGTGTTTGTTGAATGAATCGGGAAAGTTGACAATTAGGCTTCGTTTCAATATTTTATGAGGCTATATTACGATGATCGGCGTCGAACGAATGTTAATCGCGTCATTAAATGTTATTTCCAAATAAATGTACGATTTTCCAATAAACGTAGGAAACTTTCCCCCCTTGTTAATGTTTTTAGTTAATGAAATTGTGAAAAATCTGCCAAATTATCATGCTGCAAGTCGAACGCGTTTTTCGTGTGACATTAAATAATAATAGTCGCCATCATGAAATTGCGCCAGCGTAATATTGACATCGATGCAGCGGCTCCACATAATAATATGGCTATTTCCATGGTGTTAGCGTTTAACAACATGGAGGCCATTTTCAAATGAATATGACTGAAAAATGTTCACTTTCTAGGGCAATATTTGTATTTTGAAAACAATATAGCGTGTTATAAAAATCATATTTGTACTAACGATAGATAAAAGTACTTATAATTAGCATGTATATTTACGATTTTCTTCTGCAATAGAATTAAAAGCGCTTTATACGCGCGCGATATATGTTCGCCAAATTTACATAAACACTGCGAAGAAAGTTATGTATTTTTGGCGACAAAACGCAGGAAAATTTATATGGCTAGGTTACATAATATGTGAAATCATCACAAGACCAGTGACGCAGTTCCGCAAGTTTTAAATTTACGCGCAAATTTCAAAACGTTCTACTGCAGTGAAGAACGCAATCGTTGGCGCAGCAAAATATATTTACACTATCGCTATACAATCGATATTATAAATTATAGTGTAGCTCATTTTATTTGAGACAATAAAATTCTGAATGTCTGGGACATTCATTCATCCTTTAACGGGTGGGTTTGCGCGAGGGATCGCTTGGCAAATTTCAGCTCAAGTTGACGCAGATGAGAATCTAAAATGCGAAGAGAATGAGAGGCGAAAACTTTATCAAGCGCGATTGATGCGGGAGAGATATGATCGCTTCTCAAACACATTTCAAAGCTGCAAGGAAAACTTCCCCCTTGACCTGAAACGTTTTGATAAACATTTCCCAACCCTACGCGTGAAATTTAGTCGGTGGAACCACAGGAAGATAGCAGAGCGGAACCAATACACTGCGACATTTAACATTAAAGCATGGAATGAACTGTCCCAAGCGATGAAGATTGAACACACGTTTCAAAATTGTAAGCCATGCCAGTTCAAATACAGTCATATTCAAGCATTATTCCCGGTAAAATCACATCGATACACAGGCTCAATGAAGGAAAACAATCCTCATGTTGCAAACACGACTATTGCGATCCAACTACCCAGTAACCAACCATGTAACACCACCACCACTGTCCGTAAAGCGAGCGAGACTGCAAAGTCATTGTACGACCAAGTAAACCCCATTTTTAAAAAGGTAACAGGCCATTCCCTTGTAAATGCGCTGACAAAGGTCAAAGATCTGAATATTGAGGAAAAAAAATCAAAAGCTGAAAAGAGAAAAACAAGGAGAACTAATTACAGAAAATTCAAGGAAGCAGTTCAGAAAGAATGGGAAAATACATCTTTTATAAGGTAATGATATAAAAATATTCTCATGGGTAAAGGTATTCAACCAAGAAGCCGGGGTGGTTATAGTGAGGTAAAAATATCCAGCCAGGGTATAAGTAGTGAGATACCATACCCAGCCAGGATAACTAGTCCTGTACAAATATCCTATAATATCCAGCCAGGGTATATAGACATATCATATACCCTGAGTCTGTGATCAGGGGTAAATTACAGGTAATTAAGGTAAAAATATCCAGCCGGAGTAGCTGGTGATATATCATTAGTGAAAATGAAATATAATTTTATTTAATAGATGCTTTGGAAATCGACAATCATTAGCAGGAAGACAAAGGGAAAGGTTGACAATTGGTTTTGAAAGTAAAAAAGATGCAATAGAACGCACAAGGCAGCAGAAACAGCAAGAGAAACAGAAAAGTCCTGTTGGCAAGTTTGCTGACATGGAATGGGATAAGGAAGGGATGAAAGATGAAGTAAACAGTTATGGAGATGACACTTTGGTCAACTGGTCTGAACTAGCAAGACAATTTCAAATCAAAAACAAAGCTGGAGAGATAGCTCAAAACGGTGGTCAAATTGCTATGGAGTGGCTAAAGTCAGAAGGTGTTAATGTGGAAGGATTTAGGAAAAGAAGGAGAGAATGTAATGAGGGCAACATAAGAAAAAAGTTAAGAAGAGGTGCAGGTGGTGAAATCACTGTTCCTGTTCCTGAAACTAATGGTAAAGTGCTGAAGAAATTGCAAGAAAAAGTTTTGTCAGGCGAAATAAATGTTGGGGAGCTAATAGTGCCAAGAAAGGTAATTTAATCTCAATTATATATTAATTACAATTAATGATAAGATCAAATGCAGTTTAGCTTTTGTGATTCTAACTTCTAATATTGACATACGTGTATATAGAAAAGCAAGCACTGTAAATGTTAATAAGGTAGTAAATGTTGTAGATTAACCCATTAAGGGGCAATGAGTGGGTTAATACACTGTTAACAAGACGGACCAAGTAAACTTTTAAGAATCTTTCATTTTTGTTTAGTATGAGAAGCTAGTGCTCAAAAGAGGATGGCTCAATCGAGAAGTCGTCCTTTTTTGTGGAAGGACGCAAATGCCCACTGGTTGAGATCAGGAGAAGAAAGCTACATGAGTTGGAGAAATTTATGCGGATTAATGATGAAAAAGATGTGAATAGCATGAGTGTGACAGAAGTTGAGAACAGGTTGACAATGCTAAATGAGAGAAAAGAGGGTGAGGATGAAACAGATATGAGAGAGCGGCTGAAGGTAATGGAAAGAACACGGCATCTACTCGTATGGCATGACCTATCTACAGTTGCAAACCATTCCCACCTTGTCTTTATGGCAACCTGCTTGTATGACCAAGCCACATTCTATACCAACAGTGAATACGAAGCCATCACTGGAAAAAAGGTCAACATCCAGTCATTGGTTGAAGCACCAAGTCTGTACATCGTTGCAAGGTCATCATCCTGTGATGAAGATCAATTGTGTTACATAGAGACCAGACTTGAGTGTTTAGAACAACTCTCAGATCCTATTACAACAACCACTGGTGTACCTGTTTCAGACAAGATGAGGTTCTTCCATGGTGACAGTCCTTCTCGTCAATATGAAGCTGGCCAACAGAAGGGTGGGAATTTCTACTGTGCCATCTGTGGTGCCAATGCTCATCGGGTGTATGAACTTGATTATGTGTTTCGTTGCCCACACGTATCATTGGAGGATCGACAGCAGTTGGTGTTTAAAGGCCCATGCGGTGCAGCAAATTCTTTGGCAAAGTCAAATAAACCTTTCCATGGATTAACAAAACCCAACTTGATCAGGGAGTTGAATGCCAGATCAATCTACGAAGGAAAAAAGAAGAAAGAACTAGAAGATCTCTTGAGGGATGAACTGCATGGAGTTCAAAGAGTGCCAGCCCTACTATTTACCAGTCCCAACAAAACCTTAGGGTCAATTAACTGTGCTAGTTATGAGATTCTAGGTTTTGAACCCCTCCACGACATTGGGAAGCACATCGAAAATCTATTTTGTGAGCTACCAGACCATCTGCCACCCAATGAAGCTTCTAAGTTGAAGGCTGTTCTTGAATTGAGCATTGGGGGGAAAGAAACGAAACGAACCTTTGATTACCGCTGTGCTTTGATTGTTGTTTCCAATCAGCTTCGAGGCTCAGTTAATCCAAAGGTTCAATCATTGCTTGACACCCTTGTAGAAATTCAAGAAATAGCCTACAACTCAGAAGCCAAGAGAACACCACGAGCAGTTCTGAGACTCCATAACCTTACCTTTCATCATGCAATGTTGTGCAGGTCAGTTATCGGATTTTCCCTGAAGCAAATGTCAACTCGGAAGTTTTATGGTAACTACTTCCACAACATTACAGCACATGCACCAATCCAGAACAGATTAATAAGCGGCCGATCTACAAACACAGAAGAACAGGAAAGAGTATTTAATAGTATTAACAATATAACCCGAATGACATCATCTAACCATCCTGACCACATCATTGGTAATGTCTTTATCCGAGTCCAGGCTGAAAAGAAATTGAAAGCTGAACAACCTTCAACCTCCGACACACAAGAAGCTCATGTTTCCAAACTTGCATCTTCTCTACCAAATTTTGGAAACACTGTTATTTCTAAACAGATGCTAGCAAGGAATTACAGATCTTGGCAAGTTCATCTTGAAAGGATCTGTGATTTCTTATTAGCAGGTGAAAGAATTTGGTGGAGAACATGCAACAATGGTGACATTGAGTTTTTTGATGCAAAGGGAAATCCTGAAGCAGTTCCTAAAGGACCAACTTTGCATCATTTTCGCTCCAGCAACTTCAAGAAAGAAGAGGCTTATTTGAAATGCTGTTGGCAAACCTTCTTGGAGAAAAAAATAAAAATGCCTATAAAAGTACTTCAGGTGGAAAATTCTGATGGTAATATGGAGACTGTCATGTGTACAACAAATCAGGAGGATGAGGAAAATGTCGGTGCTGTGGATGAGATTGAAGGTAGGTGTGATGTTGTGGTTGATTGTGATGCTGTGGTTGGTTGTGATGCTGTGGTTGCTTGTGATGTTGTGGTTGCTTGTGATGCTGTGGTTGCTTGTGATGCTGTGGTTGATTGTGATGCTGAGGAACACTCTGATGCTGCAGCTGGTTGTGATGTTGTAGTTGGTTGTGTTGACATTGTTCAAACTAGTGGTGAGGGGGAGAAAGCAGATGATTGTAATGGAAGTGGTGAGCAATATACTGTTGGACGTAATGTAAGGTTAGTTGAAGTTTCTGAAGAAAATGTTGCTTGTCTTGAGATTAATTGTCAGGAGGAAGCCGATGAAAATGCAAATTCTGAAGCTGGTATCATGCAAACCACAAATACAGATAAAGGTACTTTCACCAACATTTGTATTTGACTGTCACATAGATCACTGTCGTCCATGTATGAACATATTTTGCTTAGGCACTTAGCATATTTCTTCTTGTTTATTAGAGAGAAAAACAGAAACACACCAAGGCCAAAAGCTGGGTTTTATCTTAGGACTGACCGATGAGGTGATTCAGTTTGACAGAGCAAGAAAAAGATTGAGGGTTTCTCCAAATAACAAGACACTAATAGACACACACACAGACATCTTACCAGTCATGGAATCCAAAATATCTCAGCAACAAACCAACCTCAAAGAACATTTAAAGAAAATAGAGCATCAATACTTCGAGAAAACTGGTAAACTACTAACATCAAAACAGTTGATGAAAGATCCAACATCCAAACTGCTAATGGCCAAAATGAAATACTGCAAAGCCCTGGTGTATCAGTGGCAGCTGGAAAAGAAATAATTTGAAAAGTTAAAAAAACGGCTCTTTTAAGAGCCACCAAATATATAAAAGAATCGTAAACGAAAAATCGATAGAATTCTCACCTTAATACAGACGTCTCCTTTCCTTGTTTTTCTTTTAAATATGTTTTTACAAAAATACACGCTCGTTGATAAAAAATTATTCGTTATAAAAGCACGATTCATATATTTTACAATGCCAAACCACTGAAATCACTGTGTATAAAAAAACAGAAAGGTCGTTGCTAAGAAACAACGCTGGTCTGACATTGAACATAGGTCACCCAATCAGACTGTCGAAATCTATGAAATGAATATATAGATTTACAACTTTTATAAGATTATTATTATTTACGAATTTATTGCGAAACAAAATTATTCTATATCAGTATTTATTTAAAAAAATGTCACAAATGTTTATTTTAAATCTCATCACGATTGATTTACTTTAATAGAATAACTTCTCACTCCCGTCACCAGTCCCTTGCGGAAACGCGTATTTTCGTTGTTTCGCGCAAAATCAAACAATTGGCGCTAAAATCAATTTTGATTCAGGGACTGTGATCACAACTACTTGTTTTTTTTCTATAATACAACATATTCGAGTGCTTTTTTTGGTTTTGTTGCTAACGGCATAATGGGGAAAGCCAGCCACGAAGTAAGCCAACTGCAAAAGAATAGGCGAATGCGAAACAGCCGCAAGAAGCGCAAGAGGGAACAGCGAGCGATGGCCAAACGCGCGGTTGCTGAGGCGGCTATAGCGCAGAAAATAAGTGATGGAGTAAAGGACCAAAAAGCGCTGGCTGAGAAATATTACAAGAAATGGAAAAATATTTCAAAAAAGGCCGATGAATTAAGGCGTAGAATACCGGTACAAAGCCACAAAAAAGGTACGTATAACGATTTTTCTCATGTATAAGGTTAAAATATATTTTGTCTTGATTTTTGAATAAAGAAAGTTATTAAAAGTCCCATGCAGCGCCCTCAACCCTTTACAACAAAGAAAAATTTATTATATTAAGCCCCCCCCCAATTTCTATAATTAACAACTCCACCAATTACTATTTGTTTGATTATTTACACATTCACTTCTATTTCTAATGTTTGTAGATTTCAGTGGATGGTGCAGCAGTTGGCAATACCTTATCAACCAAAATGATTGCTGCTTCAGTAAAACAAATTAGTCCAAGCGACTTGTTACCACTGGCAGAAAATACACTGGCTACCGCCCCTGTTGCTCTGGAACCTATGGAGAGTGTGTTCTAAAAAAATTTAAGAGGCTCGGTGTAACTGTTCTTGAAAAAAAACTGCCAACATCTGACTTGCAAGCAGTTATGAATGAAGCACAATGTATGAATACACTCACTCATGCATCTATTCCATATCTATTGGGAGTACAGATTGAAGAAAAGCCTTTCTCGTTAGTCATGCAGTTTCTTGGTGAGGATACAGAATCTGTTACAATTCATAAGCTGTTACATGCAAATCAAACCATGGCAAAACCATTAACACTCACTACAAATGAGTGGATTTCAATTTTGCTCGACATTGCAGAGGCTCTTTTCATGTCCATAACAAAGGGTTTTTGCACTGTGATGTCAAGTCAAACAATGTTCTTGTTGCAGGAAAGAAAGGTTTTTTGATAGACTTTGGTAAAGCTTGCCAAATTTCTAGGCCAACAGCTCGAAAGTACACTTCCTTTTACAATCATATTGCCACTGAGGTTTTAAGAGGTTTCCCTGTCAGTATATCCAGTGACATTTTTTCACTTGGGGTCATTCTAGTAGTGTTGGAAAAAAATTGCCAAATGCCTGTATGGAGTCCTTAGGAAAGCAATGTAAACATTGCAAGCCAGCAATGAGGCCATCTATGCCAGAAGTATTGAAAATCTTGAAGGAGAACTTGTAACGAGGGCACTCTGTAATTTTGCCTATATACAAAATGTGTTACAACATGAATAGTATGTAAATAAAATTAAAATAATAAATTAAACTAGATTTCATACTGTGCATAGTGAAACTATGTTGTCAAGACTTCGAGTCTTTAGTCAGCAGGTTGTCAAGACCTAGAGTCTTTCGGCAACCAGTGGAAACTGTGTTACAGTATGAATATATTGTATGTAAATAAACATTAAAATAATAAATTAAACTAGATTTCATACTGTGGGTAGTGAAAACTTATGTTGTCAAGACTTCGAGTCTTTAGTCAGCAGGTTGTCAAGACCTAGAGTCTTTCGGCAACCAGTGGAAACTGTGTTACAGTATGAATAGTATGTAAATAAACATTAAAATAATAAATTAAACTAGATTTCATACTGTGGGTAGTGAAAACTTATGTTGTCAAGACTTCGAGTCTTTAGTCAGCAGGTTGTCAAGACCTAGAGTCTTTCGGCAACCAGTGGAAACTGTGTTACAGTATGAATAGTATGTAAAAAACATTAAAATAATAAATTAAACTAGATTTCACTGTGGGTAGTGAAAACTTATGTTGTCAAGACTTCGAGTCTTTAGTCAGCAGGTTGTCAAGACCTAGAGTCTTTCGGCAACCAGTGGAAACTGTGTTACAGTATGAATAGTATGTAAATAAACATTAAAAAATAAATTAAACTAGATTTCGTACTGTGGGTAGTGAAAACTTATGTTGTCAAGACTTCGAGTCTTTAGTCAGCAGGTTGTCAAGACCTAGAGTCTTTCGGCAACCAGTGGAAACTGTGTTACAGTATGAATAGTATGTAAATAAACATTAAAATAATAAATTAAACTAGATTTCGTACTGTGGGTAGTGAAAACTTATGTTGTCAAGACTTTGAGTCTTTAGTCAGCAGGTTGTCAAGACCTAGAGTCTTTCAGCAACCAGTAGAAACTGTGTTACAGTATATGAATAGTATGTAAATAAACATTAAAATAATAAATTAAACTAGATTTCATACTGTGAATAGTTGAAACTAACATTGTCAAGACTTCAAGTCCTTGTTCAGCAGGTTGGCCAGTAGAAACTGTGTTTATACAGTATGGATAGCATGAGTAAAATAGTTGATTCAATTTGATGCTCTGAAGCCTTCAAACCTTATCAATATCAAACATTTATGTGCATTAAATTAAAGTTGTAATCTTTGATAATATATAGCGTAGTATAATTTCCATGTAAAGCTGTAAAAATGCTTCTCTTTGTATAATTCTATCTCTATTGAGTCTATTCTTGCACTTTGGCAAAATACACTAAAAGGCCAAAACAAATGCTTTGGATTTTTGCATTTACTTGTGACTCGTGTCTATGTATTATAGTTCTTTTGTTTTTACATATTTAATCTTTCGTATAATCAACGCCAGAATATGATATTTTATGATATTTATATTGATATTTGCCAGATTTTGCAGAATATTCAAGCGTCGTGATTATAAAGTGTGTACAAGTAAAAATTACTAGCTAATAATTTGGTATATTAGTAATAAAAGTACTGACCTTACAAACACACGCAAAGGTTCGAACCCATAAAAAGAAAACATACCGTAATATCGTATAAATATGCATATAAAATCCGTACAAAATAGTTGACAAAATCCAATCATCATTTCCGCCATATTAAACACGCGCCTCAAAATCGCGCGTGTTCCGCGCGTGCGCTATTTTCTTAAAACGTGGACGGAGCCAGGCATTAATGTACCTGAGCAACAACCCACAACCCACTAACTCTGTAGCTGAAACGACAAAAAATATGGTGAGTTGTTCCTAGAAAAAGAAGCATTTACAATTAGCATGAAGGCAATTGCGGCTAGGGGTTTAACTGACGGCATGGATATGGGGTGGCTTCTTAGGGTTGGATACTGAAACTAAACTACGATCGTCTTTGTCTGAAAAACACAAAA